CATCCATCCATCCATCCATCCATCCATCCATCCATCCATCCATCCATCCATCCATTTTCCAAACTGCTTATTCCCAAATGGGGTCACAGGGGGACTGAAGCATATCCCATAAATGTAAAATAAATGTATAAATGTTTCACTCTGTTTCACAAGTTGCTAACTGGAAAGTTGCAACATAAATTAACATTTGTTTTTCTACTGGTATATTCTGTAGCTTCTTTATCCATCTTTTGATTTTGTTTTTGATTTGTTTTGTTTTGTTTTTTTTGCCAAACCACCTATTGTAAAAAAAAAGTTCTGATGAATGTGAATGAAAAACATTTGTTTTGCTAAAAGTAAGAGCACTTTGCTAGCATTGTTACAGTGGGATTGGATATCGAACTGTTAGCTGGCTTACAAGGAACGCTTACATCTTTTGAATAAATCATTACTTAAACTGAGTTGTCAAATTTTAAAGAGCCAGGACAATTGCACCCTGTTGTAGTGTGGTTTTGTTATAATTGCAATGTGAGATTTAAAAAAAAGATACTTTCCTTCATGTTTCTCATTCACAAATCAGTAAAAGCTGCTATATTACTGAAAACCAGATTTAATCGTTATCTTTATACTATAATTACTATCCTCCTATCAACTGAAAGCGCTAAACACTACATTCACACATTGGTTGCACCAGTGGGCACACGAGATGCAACCACTAGGCAACTTGGGGTTCACAGCATTGCCCAAGGACTCTTCGACATGTGGTCTGGAGGAACATGGAGTTGAACCACTGACCCTCCAATCAGTCTGCAAATGCTGTTTCCTCCTGAGCCACAGCTGCCCTCATATAGCCACATAGTCCTCCCCATCCACAACAGAGGCACAAACACTGGCATGCAGATTAAATTGCACAAGATATAGTGCTCCATAGGGTACTGAGTGTTCTCCCAATTTCTCTAAACTCCACTGCCTGTATTTGGATATGGTGACAGAGATATAATTAGTCCTAACATAGAAGCAAGGCATTACAGGGAATACAACTATTGTGCTGTAAGAAAGGGGTTGAATAAAAAAAGAATCTGTTGGGATTAGTCTGTGGAGTTGACACCCCCTCTCCCTCTTTCCATTGCTGAAAAGGACTTTCCACTTGCCAAGTGGCCGCATGTATCAAGGCCCTCATTTCAAAATGGCAGCAAATGAGCTATGTTTTTCTGTTCTGTTGCCATGGATAACACATCTTTTTCTTCTCATGTCTAATCTTAGCTTCTCTGAGGTATCTTACATTTGGAAAACATGCCTGCTACTACAGATCTTGCACTGTTTAATTCCCCTTTGTGGATGGATTATTGTATTCGCCTACAACGTTAACACTTTCATCTGGTCGGCCCACGTCCAAGAGTGGATTTGCCTCTTATAGCTACAATCTTGAAATAAAGATATAAGATTTTGCTGGTGTGAATTACACAGGTGAAACACACACTTGACTCAATCACTTTGCCTTTACAGATTAGTGTGCGTTCTAAAAAATCTGAACAGTGCTAATTTCACAAGAGGTTTAAACAAGAAAAGTTCCATCTTATATATCTTTTATGAAGATTAATCCAAGCAGGCTCTGTCACAACTTTTAGAATATTAATAGTTTAGCCTGAAGCAGACTTACTTTTAACCGAAGCGACCGACTGCTCGTTTTAGAAAAAGTTTCTAACAAATGGGGACAAATAACCAAAAATAACTAGAGTGCAACGGTGTGATTTATTTTTGAGCATTTTGACTTTCATGAACAATAAAAGGCCAGCGAAGTAAATCCAGTTCAAAAGTGAGAGTTTATAGTATTTCGGCGCAGGAGAAGACAGTGAAAATAACAAATCAAACTGGTGTCTTCTGAGACCAAGAATGCCTGCAGAGCTGACAGATGAATGCAAACTAATCATAGCAGGTGATTAAAAATAACTTGGTGATAATAAAAATATTTGTTTACATTCTATTTGCAGGTGAATACACAGTGATGACAGCTCATTTCCATTTAAAGAGGAAGATTGGCTACTTTGTCATCCAGACATACCTCCCGTGCATCATGACAGTCATCCTTTCCCAGGTGTCTTTTTGGCTAAACAGAGAATCTGTGCCAGCCAGGACTGTATTTGGTGAGCATATTACTACACCATTATCCATGTTGTTTTTTAGTTGTGCTGGTTCATTAAAATATTCCAATTCACAACAGCACTGATACAAATGAAGATTAGTGTTATGAATGCTCAAATCACAGCAGGAACTAAAAAAACTGGCAGAGATGAGAGGCCTAACAGTCAGAAGGGTACCAGTTAGTGTTATAAAAATTCATTTTTCCAAATGTAAACTACATACAGAATTACATTAAAGCATGAATATTTAATGATATTTTTGTGTCAAATAATAATAATATATTGATACGTATATACAGATGTACAAAATGATAAAATCTGACCCAAAAATATTTTTTTTCCCCCAGGTGTGACCACAGTTCTCACAATGACAACACTGAGTATAAGTGCAAGGAACTCCCTGCCTAAGGTTGCATATGCCACGGCCATGGACTGGTTCATCGCTGTCTGCTATGCCTTTGTCTTCTCCGCTCTGATAGAGTTTGCCACCGTCAATTACTTCACAAAGCGAGGCTGGGCTTGGGATGGAAAGAGTGTCGTGAGTGAGAAGGTAATGAAGAAGAAAGCGTGTCTTCTGACAGACTCTGCTTTGCAAAGATAATTCATTAGCATAGTTCTGTGGCCCACTGACTGTGGCTTTAAAGGTATTTCTTAGAGACGAAAGAAGACAAGAATTAGTAATAGCTTCTTTAAACCTAACCAGGGTTCTGTTTATGTTTCAGATGAACACCGTATTAGAGGGAAGTCATTATGAGAAGTCAGTGTTTTCACCAGTCTGCTGTCTCACATGACAATTTCTCTTTTCTGGATGCAGAACAATTTTTAATAGCAGAAACTCATCATGTCATAATTCAGTCTTCCCCATACTTCAAATCTTTCTGATTAATCACAAAACACTTATCGGTTAGATTTCTATTCAGCTGAGTCCTAGGGAGTTTTTCCAAACCTTAAAATCAGAACCAGCAGCGTATGAAGAGCTTCCTATTTGGCTCACAACACTAACATCTGGTGAAAAAATGCAACAGAAATGCAACATACAAACAAATCCTTTAATTTTATGGGACTGCGCTAAAGCATGCTTACGAGGCAGAATTATTTCATACGCAGCAGCGAGAAAGCGGGAAAGAGAAGCCAAGCAAAAGGAACTAGAATGTAAAATAAAGAAATTGGAATATGAACATAAACAATCTAAAAAAGCTGCCAGTGTGAAAGAGCTAAACGCAACTCGAAGACAACTAAATAGCCTATTATCTGTTCAAATTTAAGGTAATTTAAGATTTACGAATCAAAGATGAGGATGGAAATAGGGCCAGTAAATTATTAGCGTTTAGACTACGGAAACAACAAGCATCAAATATTGTACAAAAAATTAAGGTCCAATCAACTTATGTTACAAAACCAAATGACATATCTAAAGCATTTTCAGAGTTTTACAAATGACTGTATAAAAATACGGACACGTGCACAAATGAGGAGGAACTTGCAAAATATTTAGAACATATAAAGATCACAGAACTGACAGACCAGTTAGCTGAAGAACTTGACAAACCTCTTGAGGAGACCGAATTAAACAAGTCATCTTTTCTCTTAAGGGCAACAAAAGTCCAGGGCCAGATGGCTATGTTAATGAGTTCTATAAAGAAATGCAACATACGCCTATAAACCCTAAAATGCAATCTCCGCCTGCAACAAGACACAACTTTGCAGTAGAGTAAATGATGAAAAAAAGATAAAGAATAAATCAATCCTTATAACCACACCCTAGTTGTTTTTATCCCAACATAGTTATATCTCTGTTTTGTTTTAGTTTTTTGTTTTGTTTGCCATAGTATAAGCCTTGGCATAATTTGGATGAAACTCCTATGTATGGAAATTTGAATAGAAATAGAATTAGAAAATTATTTTTTTTGTCTCCCATTTAGTGAAAGTTCTGATTGTCATATATTTTAGAAATTTGTTACTTACGACTTTATGTTAGACCAGAAATAAGTTCAGAGGTCAGTAAAATAGGCAAATTAATATGAATAGAAAAAAATTAATTAACATTTGAGGAACTGTTTGAAGTAACTTTTAAAACCCCTTATGGCTGTTGGAAGAAAGTGCCATAAAAATGCATGTAAAGTAATAAATTATGCATATAAAAAGCATGGTTAATGTCAATTCAATGTACAGTATAGAGCTCATTCACTATGCTGAACCGCCAACAGGATCTCTGTCACTGACAGAGCTCCGAAGGAACTCGATACATCAATATGACAATTGAACATGGGGCAATCCTGCCTCTTTTTGTATTGTATATATGCATGTGAGACCAAAACTCTGCTCATAGTCATGACATGAACAGTTCTGTCAGATATTTTCAATACTTGTGAAACATAATTTTGCACAAGTATTTTCAATGCTTCAATACTATTTTCAATAGTAAACTCCAACCAGATTACATACATCCTTCCACCACCTTTTTCACTGGAAAGTTGCCTCTTTTGCATGAAGGTGATGGCATAACATGACCAGCATCTGGAGGTCATCAGACAGCAGTTTTTCGAGGTCATTTAGTGTGCAAGATTCCTTTACATTTTAACGAGAGAAGAGTCAAAGACAATGCCGATAGCTGATTGTCAGACAGTCATGTGGGACCCTGTTCAATCTGCACATCTGTTGCTGTCAAATTCTTAAGAGATTCTGAAATATAGTGAAAGGTGGTAACCAAGGAGAAAAAAAGGGTTATTCCTTTTAATAGTATGAAAAGGATTTACACAAGCGGGCAAACACGGTGGTGTGGTGGTTAGCACCATCACCTCACAGCAAGAAGGTTCTGGGTTCAAGTCCTGAGGGAACCAGGACCTTTCTGTGTGGAGTTTGCATGTTCTCCCTGTGTCTGCGTGGGTTCTCTCCGGTTTCCTCCCACAGTCCAAAAACCTGCATGGTAGGTTGATTGATTCCCTTAGGAGTGAATGTGAATGGGAGTGTGTGTGGTTGTTTGTCCATGTATGCTTTGTGTCTGGCCCTGCGATGGACTGTCCAGGGTGTACCCCACCTCTCGCCCACTGACCAATGGGCTCCCGTTCTCCCCATGACCCCATTAGGGAATAAGCGGTAATGATAATGGATGGATGGATGTTTACACAAGCTGATTCAGATAAACAAGTTAATGGCAAAAATAATTTAAAATCCAACTTTAAATCTTGAATTGGTGACCTGATGATATGATTGATATAGAGGAGCTTTCACTGTGACCCCACGACAAGAGGATTGTCACACCTCATCCAAACTACCATGTAATGATAAAATGCTAACTATATTTATTACAAATGCCACATTCTGTGTGAACAACAGTGGTTATATTTTCAGTTTATTTTAGATAAGAGTTAAACTAACAGACACCTCTGGAAATCAATGCATCCTTCATAAATTAGTGATCGTTCAACATTCTGTCAAAGCGAAATATGCTTGAGATGCCACAACCCTTCAATTAACACTTCATTTTAGATTCACAGTTGATCGCATGTGAGTTTTTCTCGACAGCAACTGAACCCTTCAAATTTGTCTGCAGAAAAAGGAGAGGGCGTCTGTCACCAAGAAGAATAACGCCTATGCTCTGGCTGTGGCCAACTACGCACCTAATATCACCAAAGACTCCAGTACACTTCCGACTATTGCCAAAGGTGGTATTATGGATCCCTACAAGCCAAAAGCCGACAGCAAAGCCCAGGAGAGTAAAAAGACATTCAACAGCGTCAGCAAAATTGACAGGATTGCACGAATTATGTTTCCTCTTCTCTTTAGCACCTTTAACCTTGTCTACTGGGCCACCTATTTAAACAGAGAACCCATTATAAAGGATATGGTCCCCTCCAATTAGATACCAGTTTTGATGGCTTCTGGTCCAGGGATTAATAAATTAACCAAATACCTCCAAAAACTGTGTACCTACCTTTGCAGTCCTGGATTGCAGTCTGATCCTCTATCTCCGCCTGTTTTCTACACTGTCTGCAGCACTTTTAAAAAGTCTGGCTTTTGTAATTGTGTATTGTTTCATGGTGACAAATTGTGTGATAACTTTGATTTGAGTGCATATTTGAGTGCATAAGTATGTTTTCAGTTCCAGTATGTGGCCACTGTACACACAAATCAATTGATGAGTTAAGGCATTTAAATAAACGTGTACATTTAATTTAAGATGATTTATAAGTGTGTTGAATTGTGATAACCACTTCCTTGATAACACAATATATTTTCATTTAGAGTTTAATTTAGAATTAACTGATAATAATTTTTCTTTAGTTCCTTGACATATTGGTGTGGCCTGATTTTTTTTTTTTTCTGTCCAAGCCAATGCAAAAACTCACATGTATTGTACTGTAACAGTTTTGCAAAATTGTTTTATTGTCTGAGACTGCACGTAGGGCGCTGCCATCAATCACAAGATCTCCAGAATTACTTAAACATTCTACAGAAAGGGCTTGGAAAATGTAGGGGTTTTGTTTTCCATTCTCAAAGTCTGGATTATAACTCAATATCTGTATAGAAACAAGCTATATCAGCAGGATTCACACGGATGCATTACAAGGAGCTTGATGTTTAAAATTATAGCGACAATCAGTCATGTAGTCAGGCACACTGTTAGCAAAGCAAACAATCTCAGAATTTACCATCAGCAAGGCAAGATGTCACCTCATTCAGACCAAATAACACCTTTAAATATGCACTTGATAAAATAATATTGAAAATTCTCGCACTAGAGTGGTGCAGAACAAAACCACAAAAGTAAGGCGGACACATAATTCTATTTGCAAACATTAAACTTATTTGTATACCAGCAGATGCTCATCTACATTAGTTTAAATTGGGATTTTTCTTTAAAGGGACTAAATAAACGTGTGCCAAAGATTTACTCATCGATAAATTCTATTTTGCTCTCCACCAACTAGGCACCCCCATTAGCCAATTAAGATAGCTTAAGTAGTTACTTTTTTGTAGTTAGGCTTTCATCATAAGTGTTAGATTCCAGATCAGAAAACAGATATTTGGTGGGGGTATTTATTCAATTAAATATAATGTGTCTGTCAAATTTATAGAAAACGTTTGCATAACTTGGAGATGTGGAGGAAATGTAAAGCTACTAACAGGCTGTTAGATTCTAATATCCTCATGGCAAAACAGCTCTCTGGAGTGTCTACGCTCATCCAGAACCTGCACCTGTACAGTAAATGCACAAAGGTGTTCTTCAAGACTGTTGGGAATAATCTGACAGCCTGTTGGTGTGAGCTGCAGAGAGTCGAACAAAAATGAGAACATCTTCAAGGATCAGACCTATTTATATAATGTTTGGCAACACACAGTGGGTGATTAGATGAGATCAGTCAAAAATATTCCAGTAAACTAGACACAGTGGTGCGCTATCAGATATACATGCACCCGACTGATTTCAATTGAACTTATGGGCTAACCTTGCGCCTAGAACAGTTGTCGCATTGAGCAAAAGTCAAGCTTTAGTAGAGTTGGAGAACAGTGGAGCACAGGGTCCTTCAGACCCCCTTAAAAAAGGCTGCAGAAGTGTCTTCATTTCATTCATTAGTTTAAATACTACATTCTTGTCATGCTGTATCACAATGTAAGTATGCAATACACTGGAAAAAAGTATCACTGAAGTATTAATTCCAGTGCAAGCAGTTTTCTTAATGGGCTTTTGCAACAAGTATATTCAGTTTCAGCTGGCTGTCACAAAAAATTGGAGGCACATTTTGTCACAAAGACGGCCATCTTAAGTGTTTTGTGCACAACCAGTTAAGCAGATAATGTGATTTAAAGGGGACTAAAAATCTACTTGAATATGCAGTGCCAGGTGATTATTAACTGCCTGAGCCATGTCAATAATGATCCCACAGAACAGAAAAGTGAGACAGTGAAGGATAAATTCATATCAAACCCGAAAGCCCTGTTCATTCCTCACATAATGAGTTTCTGTTAGCATAAAAAACATGATCTGGTGGTTGTGCTTGATAAGTATCTGGAAGAAGATCATCTAAATATTAATCTGAAGTTAATGAATTGTCACGGTGCTTTTTTTAAATGTCAAAGGAAACTTTCTTTTGGTGAATGCAAAATTATATATATTGTGTTCAGCCCCATATCAGCAGTCATACACGTTAGTCTAAGGTGTTAATCCATCTCACATGGTGATATGATTTTACTCATGATTTAAGATAATTTAACTTGATGTACTGGTTGAATCATACTTTTACAGGGAGACAAAATACTTATTCTTTTTTTCTGTTGTCAGATAAACGGTTTTGCCAACATCCAAATAGAAACTTAAACATTCCAAATAAAGTGAATGTTAACAAGGTGGATGCTTGATTTAGCGAGCAGTTTTTAATAAACATGTTATTTCAGTTCTTTCATCTCACTTTTGTCATGTTTTCAGAAGCTCACAGCAATATCATTTTCCTGGTAAGGAGATAAACAGCATATGTAATCATAGATCCTATATTTGGGTTGTAACAGTGATTGTAGTGTGTATGAAAGAAACAGTATCCAAAAAGGGCCACGTTTGCTTCAGTGTAACTTTCCCTCTTGTTTCAAGAACTTTCTGTAAACGGAAGAGAACAGCAGGTGGATCTTTTCTCTTGCTTGATAAAGGAATATGTTAAAGAGTCCTGGGTTTTATGTGGCTCACAATGCTACAAAAGTATTCAGATGGTGAAGGAAAGGTGTGGCCTGCAGGCAGATCAGTCCAACGCCTGGATTCTGTCACAATGAATACATACTGTTGTATTTGATGCAGTGTGCAGTTTAGCATTGTCTTGCCAAAAGAAGCAAGGCTTTTCTTTAAAAGGGATTTTTTTCAGTTGAGAGCACGTTTCTCTAACACCTACTGTATGTATACTGTCCTTTTCATCATTTGTAGCATCTTTCCAGACTAGTTTCCAGGTGCAAAGAGTCACTAATGCAACCCGTAACAGGGAAGCAGGGTTCAAAACCAAGATAAGGGCTTCTTCTTTGCCTGACAGAGCCATCCATCCATCCATCCATTCTCCTCCGCTTATCCGGGGTCGGGTCGCGGGGGCAGCAGCCGGAGCAGGGAAATCCAGACTTCCCTCTCCCCGGCCACTTCGGCCAGCTCCTCCGGGGGGATCCCGAGGCGTTCCCAGGCCAGCCGGGACACATAGTCCCTCCAGCGGGTCCTGGGTCTTCCTCTGGGCCTTCTCCCGGTGGGACGAGCCCGGAACACCTCCCCAGGGAGGCGACCAGGAGGCATCCTGATCAGATGCCCGAGCCACCTCAACTGGCTCCTCTCCACGTGGAGGAGCAGCGGCTCTACTCCGAGCCCCTCCCGGATGGCCGAGCTTCTCACCCTATCTCTAAGGGAGAGCCCAGCCACCCCGCGGAGGAAACTCATTTCGGCCGCTTGTATCCGCAATCTCGTTCTTTCGGTCACTACCCAAAGCTCGTGACCATAGACAGGGTGGGAACGTAGATCGACCGATAAATTGAGAGCTTCGCCTTTAGGCTCAGCTCTCTCTTCATCACGACAGACCGGTACAGCGCCCGCATTACTGCAGACGCCGCACCGATCCGCCTATCGATCTCACGCTCCCTACCCCCGTTCGCGAACAAGACCCCGAGATACTTGAACTCCTCCACTTGGGGAAGGACGTCCGCTCCGACCCGGAGAAGGCACTCTACCCTTTTCCGGTGAGAGACCATGGTCTCGGACTTGGAGGCACTTATCCTCATCCCAGCCGCTTCGCACTCGACTGCAAACCGCTCCAGTGAGAGCTGTAGGTCCCGACTTGATGGAGCCAACAGGACCACATCATCTGCAAAAAGCAGAGATGCGATCCTAAGGCCACCAAGACTGACACCCTCAACACCTCGGCTGCGCCTAGAAATCCTGTCCATAAAAGTTATGAACAGGACCGGAGACATAGGGCAACCTTGGCGGAGTCCAACTCCCACCGGAAACGAGTCCGACTTACTACCGGCAATGCGAACCAGACTCTGACTCCGGTCGTACAGGGACCGAACAGCCCGTAACAAGGGGCCAGGTACCCCATACTCCCGGAGCACCCCCCACAGGATACCCCGAGGGACACGGTCGAACGCCTTCTCCAAGTCCACAAAACACATGTGGACTGGTTGAGCGAACTCCCATGCACCCTCTAGGACCCCGCTGAGGGTATAGAGCTGGTCCAGCGTTCCACGGCCAGGACGAAAACCACCCTGCTCCTCCTCGATCCGAGGCTCGACTATCCGACGGACCCTCCTCTCCAGAACCGCTGAATAGACCTTCCCAGGGAGGCTTAAGAGTGTGATCCCCCTATAGTTGGAACACACCCTTCGGTCCCCCTTTTTAAATAGGGGGACCACCACCCCAGTCTGCCAATCCAGCGGGACTGCCCCTGATGTCCACGCGATGTTGCAGAGTCGCGTTAGCCAACGCAGCCCCACAACATCCAAAGCCTTAAGGAACTCCGGCCGGATCTCATCCACCCCCGGGGCCTTGCCACCGCGGAGCTTTTTGACTGCCTCGGTGACTTCAGCCCCGGAGATTAGAGATCCAAACTCCGGATCCCCAGGCTCTGCCCCTCCAACGGAGGACGCGCCAGTGGGATTGAGGAGGTCCTCGAAGTACTCCGCCCACCGACCCACAACGTCACGAGTTGAGGTCAACAGCACACCATCCCCACTGTAAACAGTGTTGGTGGGGCACTGCTTCCCCCCCCTGAGACGCCGGATGGTGGACCAGAATCGCCTCGAGGCCGTACGGAAGTCTTTTTCCATGGCCTCCCCAAACTCCTCCCACGCCCGGGTTTTTGCCTCGGCGACCACCCGAGCCGCACGTCGCTTGGACTGCCGGTACCCATCGGCTGCCTCCGGAGTCCCACAGCCCAAAAAGGCCCGATAGGACTCCTTCTTCAGCCTGACGGCATCCCTCACCGCCGGTGTCCACCAGCGGGTTCGAGGGTTGCCGCCACGACAGGCACCGACAGCCCTGCGACCGCAGCTCTGGGAGGCCGCGTCATTGATGGAGGCGCGGAACACGGCCCACTCGGACTCAATGTCCCCCGCCTCCCCCGGAACGTGTTCGAAGCTCTCCCGGAGGTGGGAGTTAAAGCTCCGCCTAACAGGGGACTCCGCCAGGCGCTCCCAGCAGACCCTCACAACACGTTTGGGCCTCCCGGGTCTCACCGGCATCCTCCCCCGCCATCGGAGCCAACTCACCACCAGGTAGTGGTCGGTGGAAAGCTCCGCCCCCCTCTTGACCCGAGTGTCCAAAACATGCGGCCGCAGATCAGCTGAAATGACAACGAAGTCGATCATTGAGCTGCGGCCTAGAGTGTCCTGGTGCCAGGTGCACATATGGACACTCTTATGTTTGAACATGGTGTTCGTTATGGACAATCCGTGCCGAGCACAGAAGTCCAAAAACAGAACACCGCTCGGGTTCAAGCTGGGGGGGCCATTCCTCCCAACCACGCCCCTCCAGGTCCCACTGTCGTTGCCCACGTGAGCGTTGAAGTCCCCCAGCAAAACGAGGGAGTCCCCAGAGGGGGCACCCTCCAGTACCCCCTCTAAGGACTCCAAAAAGGGTGGGTACTCTGTGCTGCCGCTAGGCGCATAGGCACAAACGACAGTCAGGACCCGTCCCCCCACCCGCAGGCGAAGGGATGCTACCCTCTCACTCACTGGGGTAAACCCCAACGTACAGGCACCGAGATGGGGGGCAATGAGTATGCCCACTCCTGCTCGGCGCCTCTCACCGGGGGCAACTCCAGAGTAGCAAAGCGTCCAACCCCTCTCAAGAAGGCTGGTTCCAGAGCCAGAGCTGTGTGTCGAGGCGAGACCGACGATGTCCAGCCGGAATCTCTCCGCCTCGCACACTAACTCAGGCTCCTTCCCCGCCAGAGAGGTGACGTTCCACGTCCCTAGAGCCAGCTTCTGCAGCCGGGGATCAGTCCGCCAAGATCCCCGACTCCGGCCGCCGCCCAGGGCACAGCGCACCCGACCCCTATGGCCCCTCCCACGGGTGGTGGGCCCGTGCGAAGGGGGACCCATGTCTCCTCTTCGGGCTGGGCCCGGCCGGGCCCCATGGGTGAAGGCCCGGCCACCAGGCGCTCGCCATGGTGCCCCGCCCCTGGGCCTGGCTCCAGGGGGGGGCCCCGGTAGCCCGCGCCCGGGCGAGGGAACATTGGATCCAATTTTGTCTCTCTTCATAAGGGTCTTCTGGGCTGCGCTTCGTCTGATCCCTCACCTAGGACCTGTTTGCCTTGGGTGACCCTACCAGGGGCTTGAAGCCCCGGACAACATAGCTCCTAGGATCACTGGGACACTCAAACCCCTCCACCACGATAAGGTGGCAGCCCAGGGAGGGGTGCCTGACAGAGCTTTAAACAATATTTGTGGATGGTATCATAAGATGTCACTGACATTGATTTCTGGAAGTATTACAGAGACTCATGCAGTGATTTCAATTACAAACATTTTAAGATTTTTAACACAGGATCGCCTGCGAGCCTAAATATCGAAAGCATTCAGTATTGTTCTTGTTTTTTTTGTCTTCACTCTGAATTTTTTTTATATTGACATGAATTGTCAATGACGAAATATTTAAAGCCTTTCTAGATTAAAGTTACTTGGAGAGATATTCCTCTGAAGCTGTTCAATCATTTATAGATGTATCTTCTGCAGTTTGCTGGACCTCTGTCCATCATTACTACAGACTCAGCCTTTCTCAAGTCCTCATTGCGTCATCATGACCTGGTGCCAAATAATCTACTGTAATTCACTGGTTGCTAATTGCTTATTTTATTTTTATTTTCATTTGCCCCTGAATAAAGCGCTGCGAAATGTCCTGCTGCCATCAAAGTCATGAGGGACTAATATTTTTTCATAAAACAGTCAAATGTCTTTCTAATTTTTTATTATATATATCGCAAAGAGAGTATTATTTATCAGATTTACACATACTTTAGTTAGGAATTAGGGTTTTCTCATCAGTGGGAAGTCTAGCAATATCATTACTCTTTGGGAGCCCCTCTTAAGCTTACTGACAGATATTTAAGGGACAATAATATCACAACAGAATAGCAAAAGAAAACTTTTTAAAAAATGTATACAATGTTTTTCAGGTAATTGTTTAGCCATTTCTGATAAGATATAAATGTTTTTCATTTGAAATCACATCATTACTGTTTCAACAGATAGCTGTAAATAATACTCATAGCTCATGGAACCATGAAAAGGGCAGCACAACTTTTCTTCAGCAGGACAGGATCATGTCAACCAAGGCTTCTCTGCTGCCAGGAAATATCAATATAAGTGTGTTGGTAAAGCCCGCAAAAAGCCCTGTGGCACTGAGCTGTGATGCAAAGCTCGCTGAAGTTACATTTTCCACTGTCTTCCCTAAATCGTGTCCTCTCAGTCCACAGCTGACCTCACTTGTCGGCCCAGGGACTGTGTGGTCTGACACAAATCAGCACTGATGAATGGGAGGTAAAGTTTGTTGGTGCTCAATTGCCTACATGCTTGTCTTTAAATCTTCATAATTGACAATACAGTTCCTGTGAATGTCAGATTGTAGCATTCAAATATGGGTCGCGCTTGAAGATGATTCGGGTCTTTTTTTTTTTCATGATTTTTTCTCTTTTCTTAAACAGGTTATCTAAAAGTATTCTCCAGGATTAAGAAACATCTATTCTCCGTTATCACTGAAACTCTAGCAATACCACTGTGCTTCAAGGGTAAGGGTAATGCTTTGTATGTGAAGGCATTGTACCAAGTGCAGTTTTTTTTTTAATCATGTCATACCATTCAACAAAACTTTCACAAAGTTATATTTCAAAAGCAGCTTGTCTGGTTTGTGTGCCCAAGACCTTTTGTTTCTTTTAGCCAAGTAACTGGTTATCCAGGAAAAGGATGTTGTTACAGGTTCAGTCTGATAATTTTCTAAATTTAACCACCTCGCTATTAATTTATTAACCTTAACTAAATAGCTTATAATGAATTTGAAATTATTATTGAACTTTTTTTTTTTTTTAAGTCAACGAGTTAAATACTTTTCCAAATATTAAACCCAATACCATTCCTGCCTTGATAATAGCCACAGTTTTGTCCATTTATTAATGGGATATGTTTGACTTGGTGTTGTAAACACCATTACAAAGAAACATTCCGCAGTTTGATGAGACGTCATATTACAGTCGTTTTATGTAATGTACATAAAACCTTGTCTATTCTCCTCTGACATTTGCTAACTCCAGGAAGGCACTCTTTAATCTCTCAAAAGGCAGAACAAATTTGGTGAATGGCGTAATCAGGTAAAGGGTATGTGCAATGCCTCGGAACCGTCTGCAACAAGTCATTACAGAGCTGTTAGGGTAAAGGAATTGATGATCACTAAAACCATCACAGGGGCAAGAAACAGCTTTTAAAGCTTATCAAACACTTTTCAGGTGCTTGGCGAATTTTAATTCCCTTCATATAAGATCTGTTTGACATATTTTCTTTTCAGAGAATGGGAAACAGAGAACGGGGAAAAAAATACCCTCAGAAGCCAAATGGTTTGGCTGTGGTTAATTTTCAAAAGACAAACATTTTCCAAGGTTTTCGATCACATTCCTCCACCGGTGCAAAAGTCCCAAATATAAAACAGAAAGGAAAAAGAAAGGAAAAAGGAAAAAGATGACAGGCAGAAACTGGGGCAAATAGAGGCTTATTATCTCTTATTGCACAATGGAGAGAAGCAGTTATCTATTCATGTGCAAGAGACAGCTTCGTTGTCATGGCAACTGCGATCCATTTTTATCCTTATTGAACAGACTGAGTCGGCGGGACTTCAGGATGTTAATCATTTTTCAGGGTATTTTTCTAAAATGATATGCCTTTCAATGTTTTAGATGGTTAAAATAACATTACATTAGTATTCCAGCATTGAACTCTGTAGAAACCCGATTATGCCTAACCCCTAAACCAGTGAACAAAGACAGAACGGAAAAAATCCTATTTTTGACATTTAAATATATAGATGACAACTTTGCCATATTTTGCTCAACAGATGGACATCGTGGAAACTGAAGTAATTGGGGAATTTTCGCGCTACTCTTTTTTTTCGCCGTCTTTGGAGAAAAAATACATTACCCATTAAGCTTTGCGGCTTGACCTGTCAACTAAGATGTCAGCACCCTTTGAGCTCACACACGGGGTTAACCCAGGACTATTTTCTAAGGATATCTGTCATGCCCGTGGATTATATCATGACTAATTTTGAGATATTCTGCTAACTGTTCGCCATGTTCCCGTTTTTTCCCCCACGGTATTTTACCGGTAAAGATTTAAAGGTTTTCGGCTGCTAGCCAATTAGCATTTAACTGTTTCTTTAATACTGCGTGGCTACCAGCTGACAGAAAAAAATGTCATTTTGTCTTGTGAAACGGTTCTATGACTTAGCCTTTCTTAAACGTACCCTACGGTTTAAAATGTGTAAAAGGAACATACCCAGCTGTAACATAAGCTACACTTTGTTCCGACACCGCTGGATGAAAAGTCTTCCGGTCCCCTTCTGCAGGGGGATGAGCAAAAAACCCGACAAGGTACCTTTGCAAGTGAACGTGAGAGAATCATTCAAAGTTACTATCAAAGGTGTATGGTTGTTCTTATTCAGATGTCAATACTCTGTGATACCGTTTGAGTGTTATTGAACGAACTTGCAGAGTAGTTAGCTTGCTCTTTTCCTCTTAAGGACACTATCGATCTGTCCCAGTTTCCCGTGGACAAAATCAGGAATTTCTGCATCATCGCCCACATTGACCACGGGAAAAGCACTTTGGCTGATCGACTATTAGAAATGACAGGTATATTTCTTAGGGTCCCACAGCTCTTGCAGTCACACTACTACATGTCACTTGAGTCACTTTTGAATTAGAGACAGTGACTTTTGTAGACGTGACCAGAGTTTTGTAGGCTCTCCCAGAGTTAATCTTGTTGGACTCATTCTCTTTAGGTGCTATAGCAAAGACTGAAAAGAACAAACAGGTGCTGGACAAGCTTCAGGTTGAACGGGAGAGAGGAATCACAGTGAAGGCCCAGACTGCATCGTTGTTTTATACCCATGAGGGCCAGCAGTACCTCCTGAACCTCATCGACACCCCGGTTGGTCTTAAGCTGAATTTGACATTATGTAGAGGCTGTTTTCTGCTTTTTAAGCCACAACAAACCATTCACCATTTTATATTGCACTGCAAATGTGCAGCTTATGATTTTGTAAAATGGAGCAATCTTGTCTTCAGGGTCATGTTGACTTCAGCTATGAAGTGTCTCGCTCCCTTTCTGCATGCCAAGGCGTCCTGTTGATTGTAGATGCCAATCAGGTAAAAAAATTGTATTCCTTGCGAGGTATTTTGGTATAATTTATGGACTTTCTGCAAGTTAAGCATTTGTGAAATTTGTCTCCCGGTGAAGGGCATTCAGGCACAAACCGTGGCTAACTTCTACCTGGCTTTTGAAGCTCAACTGACGATCATACCTGTGATCAATAAGGTATGCTCACACTCGCTCTCCTTGGATTTATTAAAAACTAATTTCCCCTTTTTTTTTTTCCTTTTTTTAACATGAAACACGTTTTATTACATGTTTATCCTCAGATTGATTTGAAAAATGCTGATCCGGAACGAGTGGAGTCTCAGATCGAAAAGGCATTTGATATTCCAAGTGAGGAGTGCATACGGGTAAGATGGAGCGCATAGATAAAGCTTTACTTCAATAAAAAATCTTGCTGAAAAAACACACCTGTTTTTCAGATTTCAGCAAAACTTGGAACGAATGTTGAAAAGGTGCTACAAGCTGTCGTGGAGAGGATTCCAACGTAAGCCATCTTGATTTCCCTGCTCATGAACATCTTCAGCCATTGATGTCAATGATAAGGTGCATTTTACTGTTTTTCTCACAGGCCCCTGGGTAGCACCAATGACCCCTTTAAAGCCCTGGTGTTCGACTCCAATTTCGATCATTACAGAGGAGTGGTCGCCAACATCGCTGTGTTTGGAGGTAGTGTCAAAAAAGGGGACAAAATCGTGTCAACCCATATCGGCAAAACCTATGAGGTCAACGAGCTGGGGCTTCTGCAGCCCGAAGAGCACCCGACACAGAGGCTGTACGTTGGGTCCATCCTCATCCTGTGCCCTAACAACGCTTACGGCAAATGAGAGCACCGATGAATTCAAACACAAAGAATATTGTTTATAAAACAAAAGCAGTGGTTATAGATTTCTAACAGGCTTTGAAATGGATATTTGTCGATATTTTTTAGTCTTATTCCTTTTGCCCCACTAGCCTTCAGAAATAGTTCCCTACACTTCTTGATGGACATCCCAAAGGTCTCTTTCTTGTATCAGAAGAAAGCTTTAAGAATGGCTTCTTGACAGCAACCCTTCCATAGTGACCATTCCTAATGAGGCTTCAGAGAATGGTAGATGGATCAGATGGATGTCAAAATGTATTTTTTAGCATTATACTTTCAGGTACTTTTCATAAGCCTATTCATAAGTCTGTAGTTTTTTAAACCTTTGACATTGTCTTTTATCCTCCTGTTGTTCCGTTTTCTCTCCCTCTTTGAGGACATGCTGCACATTATCCAGTGTCTTGAACCAACAGATTTTTGGAAAACGCCTGGTGCTGAATACCCTTTTTTTGGGTTGGTGCAACTGAGGAAACGTGAAGAAGTTATTTGTCTTTATGACAGACTGCTAGTGCCAAAGGGGATAAACATACTTCATAAATACTATTTTTTATAAATGGATGATTCATACCTCAGTAGCTTAACAAACAGAAAAACACAATCTGCTTAAATTGGTCACAAACAATACCTGTAGTGTTGATGAGTGGGGCAGAAAAAGAAAATCCGATATCTAAAGAGAAAAGCTTTGAAATGCTGTCAGAAAGTCTACATTTTACAAGGGAGGCTGCCTGTAGATTAATCTTTAAGCTCATCATAGCCCTGAATTTTTTGTTAACGGGAAATGTATGAAATGTTTTAATTAAAAGTAAACCAATCTTTTTCTGACGTTGGCTGTTTTTTCTTCTTTTTTTTTTTAGCTTTGCAGGCCAGGTGGGATATATGATCGCAGGGATGAAGGATGTGAAAGAGGCTCAGATTGGTGATACGCTGCACCTGCAGGAGCAACCAGTGGAAGCTCTGCCCGGGTTTAAGCCTGCCAAAGCCATGGTCTTCGCTGGTAAGCGCTGCTCTAATCCACAGCTGCTCCTCCTTCCTTTTCAGGTAAAGAGTGACATAACTACTAAGACAGAGGCATTAAGACTTTCCGCACCAACTGAAAATTTGAACTGGCGATGCATCAGGTCTTAGTGGCCTTATGGCTCTGTGTCCTGCTTTGTGTTTCTCTAGTCATCTTGTTGCAATCAGGGCCTTTAGTGAAAAGTGCTGTTTATTTATTTGTCCATATTAGAGATTAGATTAGAGCACTTTATTCCCCACAGTGGGGAAATTTACACGTCACAGCAGCAGTACAAACAGTACACAAGGGCAGAAAGGGAAAAACACAAGCCTAGTGGAGGCATAAATAAAGGTATTTACAAGGGGAGTTAATAGAATATTACAGTGACCAATTGACTTCTGAGACTACAACACGATCCAGGCAGTGCAGGTGTTGTATATCTTGACAACAGGACCTGTGGTACCTCTCCTTACACCGTAGATGTAGAGGTGTTGTCCAAGATGTCAACTTATTAACATCCTTCTCTCCCCCACGACTTCTAAGGAGTCGAGTCCAGTGGACAGTCCAGGACAAAGTTCGCTCTCCTGATCAGGCTATTGAGCCTGCTCCTGTCCCTGTCCGTGCTGCCCCCAAACCACTGCATAAAAAATGGCCAACCACAGAGTCATAATATGTCTTCGAAAGAGACATATGTATATACGGTGTATATATATATATATATATTAATCTTTTCTTTTTTTACTGTCCCTTAGGGATGTATCCGATGGATCAGTCAGAGTACCCCGGTCTTCGCAGTGCTATTGAGAGGCTGACCCTGAATGACTCAAGTGTCACAGTGCAGAGAGACAGCAGTCTGGCCCTGGGAGCAGGCTGGAGGTTAAGAGGAATAGAAAAAATAAAAAATAAAAAAAAGGGCTTTATTATTGCCTGACCAGCGGCATCGTTAGGTGGTGGTGAAAGACAAGAAAAGTTTCTATTTTTTTTTCTTTTTTTTTTTTTCTTTGTTACTGTTTTTGGAATGGAATTGGAAAACAAAGTCTGTTCAGTCAGATGCTTCTTCAGAGTAGTTGTAAAATAGGCTGCTACAGAACCTTACCTGTCCACAGCTATCAAAATTTATAATAACTCCTTAACTTAATGAGCTACACCAACGTTTAATTTCTGTCTTGGATAAAGTATCCTTTTATTTTATTTTATTTAAATATGCCCCTCAGTCTCCTATGTGATTGAGGGGTGTATTTTCACACATTTGCTGACCTCTGGGGCCAGCAAGTGGTATTTCTTAACTCCAAAGTAGTTTTTCTTTTTGCCATCGAAGGAGCAGGATTTATAGGCAAATCTTTTTAAAAAACCGGCTTGGACACAAATGACTTTTCAACTTAAGACTTGTTGGCATATAATTTTCTTTTGAAAATAGTATATGTTGGCAGAAACGAACTAAAAGGGAATTTTATAATCAATACAGATTATTTAGATTTGTTTCCATTGGCTTTGAGAGTACTGGAAGCAAATTGTTGTGCTGGAATAGTGATGAATCCTGCAGTCAGACTTAATGAAATTAAATACACGGGCATCAAATATCAAACTGCATTGCCTCCTGCAGACTTGGCTTCCTGGGTCTTCTACATATGGAGGTGTTCAATCAGAGGCTGGAGCAGGAATACAATGCCTCCGTCATAGTAACTGCACCAACCGTGCCCTACAAGGCTGTCCTCTCCTCACCCAAACTCATCAAGGTAAGAGCCCTCCCTGGCCAGTATATCTTCCAGTTTTATGGCTGACTTGGACTCGGACTGATTACAGCAGAATGTTTCCACTCGGCAGAAAATCGATAATAGATCATGGCTGTCATGCCCCCTGGCATGCTTTCCTGTAGAATGATTGATGCATGGTGGGAAACTTGTAAGGGGACGGTTACATGTTTCATAGCAAAGACGGAAGCTAATTTGAATGCAAGATGGTCTTAATAAGATTGTAAATGTTATTTCTGCAGAAAAAAGATCTACAACATGCTCATTTATTCTCACTCAGAGTGGTAATTCTATTCATGTCGAAATTCTTTACAATCGAGTCTTTTCTCCCTCTTGGCCTTCTTCTTTTTCATCCTCTACTCCTTTAATACTCTTTTCTCTCACTTTCTGGTTGTCTGTTATTCTGGGTATCATAATTTCTCTGAATTTTCTTGTTCATGTCCTCTTCCTACTCCTTCTCTGTTTCTCCTTCTCTTCTCTCTCTACTACTCCTTTTTCTTATTCTTATTTCCTCCCACTTCTTGTCCTGTTCCCCCTTCATCTTCTCCCCCTGCTGCTCCAGCTGCTTGCCATTCTTGTTTTTTTTTATCTCCTCTTCATCCTGTTTTTGATCAACTCCTCTTGTTTTCTGGTCCTATGCATGTTTCTCCTTCATCTCCTCCTCCTGTTTTCTGGTCCTACCCCTGTTTCGCCTTCATCTTCTCCTCCTTCTGTTTTCTGGTCCTACACCCGATTCTCCTTAATCTTCACTTCCTCCTGTTTTCTGGTTCTACCCCCATTTATCCTTCATCTTCTTCTCCTCCTGTTTTCTGGTCTTTTTCCTGTTTCTCTTTCATCTCCTGCTCCTCTTTTCTGGTCCTACCCCTGTTTCTCCATCATCTCCTTCTCTTTAATCTTCTCCTTTGCATCCTCCCCCTCTCAGGAACACGGCAGTGAGGAGATAACCATTGTGAACCCTGCTCAGTTCCCTGACAGATCTCTTGTGTCAGAGTGTTTGGAGCCCATGGTGCTGGGGACCATTCTCACCCCGGACATCTACACGGGAAAGATAATGAGTCTCTGCTCGGTAAGTATATTGTATACTTTTGTATATTTTTGTTTATTTTATATATGCATGGTATATCTTATCTTGGGTAAGGTCAACAATTTGTACAGATGTGGAATTTATTTGTTGAAGTCAGAATTTTTGCCAAAGATCCAAGCTGTTGCTTTGAATCAGAAGTGTCTCTTTCAGTTTTACATCAAACTCATGAAAATATTGAGCAAAATATGTATGCAGTGACCAATGATCAATGCAGCTCTATCCAGACTGATGATTTGACTTCTTCAAGAATCGGCGGGGGGTCCAGAAGAATATGGTGTACATAGATGACCAGCGTGTCATGATGAAATACCTCTTCCCACTGAATGAAATCGTTGTGGATTTTTACGACCTCCTCAAATCGCTGTCGTCTGGATATGCCAGGTACGACTAATCGGCCTCAGATTTAATTTATTGGCATGGATTTGAGGGAATTTTCTCTTTCTTCCGTCTACTCTGTTCACTGTCTTATGCTCTAATATATCAGCCATAGGAAAAGTTTGTGAACCCTTAGACACGAGCCTCCATAAATGAGACAGAAGAAATTTTTTGATTTTACCAAGCACTAAAATGAAACACACATAAGACACACAAAAAAAAGTTTTTGATTCTCTTATTATTCCAATGCATGGACTTTATTAACAAATCTTTAATACGAGACTCTCACAGGCATTACATACCTTTGTCTTTCTGTCTGAACCACTTTTTCCTCAGTGACCAATATCACATGTTTTGAGTTATTCTTTTAGAATTCACACTGGGTCAGTGTGTTTTGGAGTCTATTTCAAATAGTGTTGTTTTCAAAAAGAGCTAGGAAAGAGGCAGGAAACAAAAGTTAACTGAAGCAGAAGGCACATGCTTCAAGATCTGAAGGAGCAGAGACAAAAGGGAGACCACTGCTGATCTTCAGGCAGAGATGAATGCTTCCAGATCAGAGTCTTACAAAGTCTTTAAAAATTAGCAAAAGCAGACCACTGATAGGCGAAAGCTTAAAAGGAAGAATAGCTGCTAAGAAGCCATTACGGAGGCCTGCAAACATCCACCTGGAGAACTGATTGAGGGGTAGTCAGAGCGTAGATTCAAAGGTCGATCGCACAAAAGTTTAATCCAAAGAGTAAGCCGCTATGTAGAACAGGAGACTATATCAAATATTGTATTTTCAGCTACTATGTGTGAAAATGGACTTTTAAAAGATTTCAGTTAGCTTTTTACTAAGTAAATCATTAATATTTTTTGGGTTTTTTTAAGTTTTTGAAAAATTACTAAAACAGAAGGATGCTCTTTTGTTTTTTTCTGAAAGGTAATCAGAAACTAATGTGTGTATATGGTATATGTGTGTACCAGGTTAAGAGTCTGGGCGTCATCCTTGACAACACACTGTCCTTTCAATCCCACATCAATAACATTACCAGGTCTGCCTACTTCCACCTATGAAACATACTAACTGAGTGGGGGGGTAAGGGAGGGCCGTAGGCCAACCGCCTACGGC